TATTATAATATATTATATATATAATAAATCTGAAGCATGTTAAGTTCTTTCTAGGCATTATAATTCAGGGTTTTCATAGTAAAGCTTTAAAGGTAGGCAGATAGATAGATACATAGATACATAGATACATAGACAGACAGACAGACACTGATATTAATGTTTCAATATCCTACAAGAGAGCTAGCTATGCTATGTAATACCTATACCAGTTTCTCTAAATTTATGGAAAGCAGCTTGGCAAATATCTACATTACCCAAATACACAAGCCCTAAAACTGTCAGTTACTATTTTAGATTCAGACTATTAACTAATTTCAACATTCACTCATTCGATCAGTATTTGCTGGGAATCAACTATGTGCCAGGCATTGTTATAGAAGACAGATAAAAATCTTTTCTTATAAAGCTTTCGTTGTAGTGGAGTGTGAGACTGTAAAAAACAAATAACTAAAATATATCATATGTCAAATTGTGGCGAGTAACACGGAGAAAAATAAATTGAAGAATAGAAAATTGGGTGTCCTAAGGCAGGGATAAAATTTGCAATTTAAATGACATGATTGAAGAGCGCCTCACTGAGAAAGAGCCTAATAGCAAAGTGCTGAGTGAAGTAAAGGACAGAGCCATGTAGATGTCTAGTGAAAAGCATTCTGAGAAGAAGAAATAGAACATGCAAAATCCTTATGTTAAAAATGTACCTCGAATCTTCAAGGAATCACGAGACTAGCATGGCTAGAGTGGGCAAGAGCGAAAAGTTGAAGTCACATGCACTTGAAGTCACAAGGATGTTCATAGAAGCATTATTAATAGCTGTCAAAATCTGGAAACAGAAAACTATATAGTAGAATGAGTGGGTTGTAGCACATTTATATAATGGAATTCTATATAGGAAAGAATGAAAAAGAAAAACTTACAGGATAACGTGGATGAATATCGCAAAGGCAATATTGAATAAGAGAGGCCAAATGCTAAAGAACACACTGCATGATTCCATCTGTATAAATTTTATACATAAAGCAAAACTAACATATGCAGTAACAAGACAGACCATGTATGGGAGGACAGAGCTTTTGCGTGATCAGAAAAGAGAGACAAGGAGTTTTCTGGGAGGACTGGATGGAGGTAATATGTTCTTTTTGTGATAACTCACTTAGGGTTAGTGCACATTTCGGTATGCATGCATGTTTTGCCTCAATTTTTTTATACACAGTGGGGACACAGTTCAGTAGCAGAGCACTTGGCCTAGCATGCATGAGTCTCTGGTTTCAATTCCCAGCATCTATGTATCTATCCACCCACGAATGAAGTGGAAGAATTTGTGGTAGCAAATATACAGATAATTCTTTCAAAACATTTTACTCTAAGAACAAAGAAATAGGTTGAAATTTTGCCTACTTATATTTGTCATTAATGAGAAACACCTGTCCTTTTATTGACTCTAGGTTTTCTCTAAATCAGCTCATTTTCAACTTAATTTTAAAAGCAAATTGTACATTAGCACTATAAATTTCACCTGCCATAATAGAAGTAACTGTTAAAGACAATGAACAAAAATGATCCAATTAATTTAAAAATAGAAAAACAATTGAATGACATTGTAGCTTGTATCTAGATGTCCCCCGATGCCTCACACAGGGCACCACTCTCAGAAGGGATTAATGTAGTTCTTGTGGAAGGTTGTTTCCTGAAATGGTGGGTTGTTATCAAAAGTAAGTCCAGGGCTGGGGATTTAGCTCAGTGGTTCTGCCGCCTGCCTTGCAAGCGCAAGGACCCGAGTTCGATCCCCAGTACCACAAAAAAAAAAAAAAGTAAGTCTGGACTCTTACATACTTCCTGTCTGCCCATGTGACTGCTCTCTCCTTCTTGCAGCCCTCCCACCATGATGTGGTATAGGAGGCCCTCACCAGATGCTGAATAGATGAGGCTGCTCCAACTTGGAACTTCAGCCTCCAAAACTGTGGGTTAATTATACTTATTTTCTTTATAAAGTACTCAGTGTCAGAGGTTTTTTTCTTTATAGTAATAGAAAACAAACTAATACACCAGTGATAAGAAAATTCATAGACATCACCTTTGCCCTCAAGGTAAGGTTGCCAAATAAAAATACCGAAGGCCTAGTTAAATTTGAATTTCAGGTAAACATGGAATTTTATTTTTAGTGTATGTCCTAAATATTTGCATTAGACATACACTAAAGTGTACGCATTGTACATTTTTGTTCAGATTTCCTAAATCCAGCAACCCTACCTCCAAGGGTTTTCAGATTATTAGGGGACAAAGTCAACTAAAATAGTGTGAGAACTTGCGAAGTGTCAGAAGGAAAAAGCCATCACAGGATGCTTAGGTGCATGCGAAATATCCAGCTCAGTGAAGACTTCAGAGAACTGATAACGCCAGAAATGAGTCTTAAGCTCAGAGTACCATTTATTTCAGAATTCAACAATACCATCATGATTTGTATTTAAGTTTTGCATAAATGCCTGTTTTGTCTGCAGAACAAGATTCTAAATTCCTTGAAGAGAGAGGCTATCTTTTTGTGTCCCCCACACCACTTAGCACTCACAAGCACACCTAATACATGCAGGAAATACTGCACAAATTGATCCAATGGTCTTTTTCTTCCCATGCGTAAAAATATTCTATTCAGGGATATATTTTTAACTGGTGCTTTCATTTTTAGTTTTAATCGTCAAACAATGCAGCCAAAAACCAAGTTGGGAAACTTTGGAGTTAAATGGTAAACACATAGGGTGTTTGTAGTGCAGAAACCTCTTGTTAGTTCCATGTACCCCCCACCACAAACACTTCGTTGCCAGCAGCAGCTACACCAGATGCCCCACAACTTCTGCGGCAAATTTTTCCATTCCAAATGCCTCTGTCCCACAGCTTCTCTGAATAACCCCACTCTGAAGTCAGACTTTCCCACTCTGATCTATGATGAATGCCTCAGAGGAAAGTCCATGGATAGCTGGCAGGACACTGGACACGTGTGAGCCCGCTTTTTTGGTCTATTGGTAGTCTTTCCCGTAGTCAATTGGAATAGTCTGTGCACTGCTTCCCCTTATACTATAGCATCACTGTTAGGGGAAGTAAGGCTTCTTTGAAATGGCTTTATTTTGACTATTTCTGATACCTACCTCAAGTACAGAAGGCTGAGCTAGTTATACTCAGCTGGAAACACTAAAAGTTGCAGGGACTTAAAGCAGCCAGCAGCAGTCAAGGCTGTTAACACTGCGGGCATTCAGCAGCCAGACCTGTTACTCCAGTTTCATGAAGAGTTCCAGACAGTTGCCAGTAGCTGCTGGCTCCCGCTGCTAAGACAGCGACCAAGAGGGTCATTAAGAGCTGACAGCCACTGGTACTCAGAGCCACTGGTACTCAGAGCCACTTCGCATATTCTGGATTTCTATCTGAATTGGAGAACCTCAGCATATCGGAACAAAAAAGGAAGTAGTTTTAAATGTGTGCTTCTTGCTCTTAAATTGCATGAATCAAGTCTGAATTGTCATTCTGTTACCTCTGGACCCAAAACATACTTTGTAGTCTGGCCTTAAAGCGACCCCCCCCCCGCTAAAACTTTCTCAACACAATATTCCAAAAACAGAAAAGTTACCAGGACTGGGGTTAATATGAGGACTGCAAATCCAGCCCCAAGTGGACCCTAAAGTCCAAATTGTCTTTAAAATCTGTGTTCCTTAGCCCTCTATATTATTATAAAGATAAAAATTTCCCTAATTTAGGTAAAAAATGGATGAAGCCAGACTAAAGTGATAAAAGCAGATTTCAATCAACACTATTGCAATAGAAAAGAGAGACCAGTTTAAACTGAACTCAACTTCAATTCGTGGGGAAGATAAGACGTTTCAGAGACAATGAAAGAATGTACGCTTTTTTCCCTTCCACGTTCTTGTTTCAAAAGCTAAAAATACTAACACGAGGCGGCGCTCTTTGCAACCGCCTGGAACCGACGCTAAACTCAAGAGAGAACTACAACTCCCAGCAGCAACAGGGAGAGCGAAAACACCCCACTTCCGGGACTCTCGGTCCCGAACGCCAATACAGCAGCGACAAGCCGGGCACCACGTGCTGAACAGTCCTGCCCGGCCAAGGGCTAAGGACCCGGATGAGCGTAAAACCGCGGGAGGCGGTGCGGCGGCGTAGCTGCGTAGCGCTTTCGTCACGTCCGCTGGGCGGGGTCTCAGTTATCCCGCGCAAATTGAAAGGTCAGTCTTTTTGCGTGGAGCTGCTGGTGGCCCTTTGTTCACCGCCGGCCTCAGTTGCTCTGGCCCAAATGAGTGAGGGTTGTCGCGGCTGGATACCAGAGGCTCCTTCCGGCTTCCTGCGAGCGGGCTGTGCGAAAGCTAAAGGGTGGATCTCCGCGGTGGTCAGACCTATCGCCTCTCACGTCCTTCCTCGTGAGACTCAGTCTTCTGGGGACGAAAGGAGCGTCTGGCATGGTCTCCCCGACCCTACCCAAAGCGCTCAGTCTGATGGGAGCGAGTCACTAGGCCGGGGCTGTAGATCGGTGAGCGTAGGAAGACCGCGCTTGCTGGGGACGGTCCCGGCGGGAGCGAGCACAGGACTGTCCCACATCTCACGCTTTTCCGCAGAAGCTGACAGAGCAGTTCATACGTGCAGACTCCCCATTTTCAAATGATGACAAAAATATTTTCCTTAACCTACAGGCCAAGGGAAACAAACGCGTGGAATGAGCTGCGGCTGCGCCTGCGCATCCCTCTAAGACCGGAGTAACTCAGGAAGTTGCTGCGATTCTTGTTCCTCGAGTGCCCCGGGTGACTTCCTCAGTTGATATGTGCCGTATGGCACACAGCCATTCCTGCTGGGCCAACGAGGAGATGCTTATTCGAGGACATTTACCTGGCCTACAAGAAACGTACCAAAATTTCGAGTCTGTTTTCCTTACTGTGATGGTAGATGGTTTCTTGCCAAGTGTGGCTTGAAGACCACCTGCATCCAAATTGCCCTCCACTCCCCTTAACTACTGCATCATAGTCACCGGGGTGAAGTGGAAAGCCTGCAAACTGCTCAACTAGAACATCAGAGCTCTAATACTGTGTCAGAGGGTAAGGCTGACTTCAGATCCTGTATGTACTCTTTCTTTTCTTTCCTCCAAACTTGATGATTAGGAGACTCATTTTTAGATGTTAAGCTCAGTGCTGTCTTTTATCTTTTATCATGAGTAGAGATTTGAGGATAGTAGATTCAGAGAGGAGTGTCAGCTCCCGAATTTTTGCGTAGAAAGGTCTTAAGGACTACAACTTGGATGTAAGGGAAGGGGCAAGTTAAAGCATTTGTCTTCAAGTTGTATTTGCACACAGCAAGAATAGTTTCACATTTCTTGGGGGTAGTTTTTTATCTTTCAGTTGAAATGCCTGAAACTGCTCGCTTCAGCAGCACTTACACTAAAATTGAAATGCCTGAAACTTGAATTTCTACTATGTGACTGCAAGTTGGCCCATTCGTTTGTAGAGGCACTGATGTGGCATGCACAACTTTGTAGATTTTTAAGTGTTTTTGGGTGTGTGTGTGGTACTGGGGATTAAACCCAGGGGCAATTTGCCACTAAGCTGTGTATCCAGCCCTTTTTATTCTTTTGTTTCAAGACAAGGTCTTGCTAAATTGTCTAGGCTTACCTGGAGCTTGCAGTCCTCCTACCCCATCTTCTTGAGTAGCTGGGGTTACAGAGTGAGCCATCACACCTAACTTTAACAGTGCTTTTTTGATGAAAGGGACAGGCCTTCGTGTCTGAGTACCTTGTGTGTGCCTGGAACTATTAAGAATTTGGAAAATGCATTGTAGTTCTTTAAGTGTGAAAACACTTTGGAAAGAATAAACATTAAGCAACCATCCAGGAGCATTTAGAGGTAGTATGTTAATGTAAATCCTGAGCTATGATTGGCAGAGAGAAGTTCCATTTATTAGCTAATAAAAATGGATTCTGTGTTGGTTTGCAAGCTCTTTATTTTTCTAAAGCTTTTTGGTAAATATATTTTGCTTTAAATATTTCTGTTTTTCCTCTTGTATTAGGTAGTTAATTTGACACTATGGGGATACAAGGATTGCTACAATTCATCAAAGAAGCTTCTGAACCCATCCACGTGAGGAAGTATAAAGGACAGGTAGTAGCTGTGGATACCTATTGTTGGCTTCACAAAGGAGCTATTGCTTGTGCTGAAAAACTAGCCAAAGGTGAACCTACTGATAAGTAAGTTTGGATGTGATGTTAATTTTTTTAGAATCAAGAATGAGATTTAAGACTGCTTTTTTTCCCAGAAAGATTATTTTCACTCATTGTCAGAATTTATTAAGAAATGAGAATTTGTGTTTTAGAATATTGCCAAATCAAGGATGACTTACTTCTTTTATACTCTTGGCTACAGAAGACATACTGCTATTTCTTTTAACAAAATGAAGCTAAGGAGCTTCTTTTTATTTCATATGTAGCCAAAAGTGGTGGCCCATGTTGACCTCTAGTCCCAACTCTAACTTCATCTAAGGCAGGTTCAGTAGGCTAATGTCTTCTATTTCTTAAATAGAAACACTAAAAAACCAAGTATAATTTCTAAGCAGGAAAAGATTTGGCCAATGTTGGTTTTTTTCCTTTTTTTTTTTTTTTTTTTTTTTTTTTTTTTTTT